TCCCTCTCTTGCTGTGTCTCTCTCTGTCAAAATAAATAAATAAAATCTTTAAAAAAATAAAAATAAAAGAGGTGCTGGAGGTTGTGCTGGAATTCCTAAGAAAGGGGCTGGAGGTCAGGCTGGATTGAGCTAGAATAGAAACACGGGGAAGGAGCTTGGCTCAGGCTGATCTCAGGGTCTGGGGGTTGAGGGCCTGTGTCTTTGCACTGGGGCTGGCTGGGGTACACAGTTGGGCTGAACCAAACTTTTCAGCATCATGCTGGGGCCTGGGGCTGGGCCTTGAAGGGACTTTCCCTTCCCCCCCACCCTAGCAATTCCTCCAGACTAAGGGCCTTCCCCAGAGGGGCTGCTGTGGCAAACAGGGAGGAGTCAGATCTAGGGCTCCAGAGGAAGTCGCTGGCCACTGTGCTTCCTGAATTCAAAAAGTGGGTTCCCCTGTCTCTCTGGCTCACTGCCTTCCCCCAAGAAGGGCAGAGTCCAGGCCTGGCAATCTACCTCTTCCCATGACCACTGCCTCTTCCAAAACACACACTCACACACAGAGGATATGAACCTGCAACGTTGTCACACAACTGCTGGTGCAGCAGCCCCATAACACAACACAATACTGCCAAGCCATGCATTTAACAACATACCCTCATTTACGTACTTGTAGCCTCCCAGTCACACCCAACAGTCATGCCTTTTCTGCTTTGTTCAGTACCGCATCTCTAGCACCTAGAATTAGGCCTGGCACCTAGAAAGGGCTCAATGAACAAATAAATCCAAGACACATCTCATAAACAAATGCATAGATAAGCCTACATACATATTCACACATGCAATGTGCCCTTACATACCCATATCCAAGCCCTCTCCCAGCCCGGCAGTCACATACACATATACACTGGCAAACACTCAGACAGAAAAGCCAGATGTACACACACCTAGTTCCAAATGCGGACACACTGCAGATCGATGTTACCTAGCACTCCCAGGGTGAGTTGGTGGTAGCAGCTGGCTGGTAAATGTCCATCAGGTCAGGCCTGCAGCGGAATGAAGTGGGCATGTGCACGAATGCAGGCGTTGGGGTCCTGAGGCAACGGGCAGTGAGGAGCTGGGCTGGCGGAGGACGGGCCAAGATACCTATATGGATTGGAGAGGGGGTGGGAAGGGCCATGCAGTCCTTTCCTCTGGTTTCTTCCTGCCAGCTGGGGAGGTGAGAGTAGAGGTACAGGTCTATGAGGCTACTTCAAATCCAAAGACTTTAGTGGGGTAATAGTCTGAGAGGCCGGATTCCCCTGTTGGGATGAAAAGTCTGGGCAGAGGAATTGGTAGGTGCTAAGATCCCATCCCCAACCTAGAGCAGGGTCTCCCTATCTTGCCAATCTTCTTTAATGGTGGGAGAGAAGAGAGAAGGGGACTTGGGAGGAGTCACCACCTGGAAAGGAGTTTAAAAAGCACACCATTCTTCCTTCTACGTAAGGAGCTTCAGGCTGCCCCTAGCAATTGCACTCAGGCATCCTCCTCCATGTCCCCACCCAAAGTCAGCAAGCAGACAAACAATCCAGCTACTCTCTTACTTCCCCACCCAGGACCTAACACCAGGGGATGCTAGCTCAGAGAGCACAGCTGGGCTGGTAGGCTGGAGGCTGGGTAGGGGCAGGAATCTCACTGACAAAAACAGGACTAAGTCTCCCAGTCATTCTAACCACCCAAAGCTCCTTCAACCCAAGCCTAGGCAAGGACCCCTCCCCCTCCCCAACATCTGACCCAGGGCCTTCCATCCTAGGAAACCTGCCTCAGGAAGGCCATCTGTCTGGCAGCCCCATGGCAGTTGGGGGTGAGGAATAATTGTCCCACGGGAGGGAGTCAACTTTTGAGGGAGACAGGGCCAGTCTGGGACAGGAGGAGCAATGGCAGAAGAGTAAGGGGAAAAGATGAGACTGAAGGGGGATCCACAAACATATTCCCACTTCCTTCCTAATAACTGGTTTTAGGGACTGTAGGAAGGAGGAGGGGAAAGACTGCTTGGGACTGAGTTATTAGGCATCAATGACCAACCAAGACAACACTCTCAAACCAAAAAGTCTCTTTATTGATCGGTACCATACATGACTCAAATGGCCCAAAAAAAAAAAAAAAAAAAAAAAAAAGGCATTACATTTGGGGTGGGATATCCATCTTCCCCACCCCTTCCCTCAGCTCGACACAATACCCTCCCAACAGTGGCAGCTGGAGTGAAGGAAACTGGGTGTGGGGGACCCCAGAATCCAGAAGGAAGAGTAGGGGAGAGAGGTGGTGCTAACACTTCTGGAACTGGCCACAGGAAAAGGCAGAGAAGCCACAGAGCTGGGCCCAGACCCATGGGACCCTACTCCTGGCCTCACCCTGGGCCCAGAGCCTCGGAGTGTCCAACTGTGAAACAGAGCTGAGGATCCTGGCTGCTTCCCCCCTCCCTTCTACGAGGAAGGGGATGGAAGGGATATTGGAGATGAAGACCCTTTACTTCAGCTGGGGAACAGAGGTCTATTGCTCCCAGGTGGGCTTAGAGCTGGGACATCCTCCGTGGCTCCTTCCCCTCTTTGGAGGACAGGGGAGGACTAGATACACAGTTTGAGGAGTTGGGGGGAAGAGAGTACTGGAAAGAGTGGATGAGCCCCTCCCCCTCCATCCCAGGCCAGCCCAGCTGAGACAAAACAAACAGTGACAAACAAGGCGCTCCCTTCCTGCCACACTTCCTAAGGGAGGGAGCCTCCCGTCCCCCCATCCAAGACAGCTGCTCTAGTGGAGGACTTGTAAAGAATATACACGCCATGGGGGAGGGGGTTGGGGGTGGGATAGTGGGGGTCACAAGCACTAGGACAGCAGGCCAGAGTCCTGGAGGATGGGGAAACAGAGACAACAGCAGGGGGTTGTCACAAAGATGAGGCCATCAATGGCCCCCTACCCCAAGGTATGCCTTCCCCAGCTCCAGTCACCCCAGAGGAAAAGGGAAGAGAGATGATAAAGAATCTCCTTGGTCTGAAGCTCTCAAACTGTATAAAATGGTAATACATACCGCCCTACCCCCACACTCACCTCCACCTGGGCCCTAAGCCCCACATTTGCCAGGAGTAGGGAGGTAGCTGGACTTTTTAATAAGGGGAAGAGGGGGTACATGAGTGATTTTTTTTTAAACTTACATTTTTAATAATATTATTTTTTAAAAAACTTGGGAGCTGGCATAGGCGGCTGCAGGGAGGAGCTAGAGCTTTACCCCTCTACTACCAGCCACCCAGGGGAAGGTTTAGGAAAGGGGCACTCAACCAAGCCCCATAACTTTAAGTCCCTAGGGGCTGTGGGATAAACAACCCCAGGCTTGAAGGGGATGGAATCAGGAGGATGTGGAACCCAGAACCTGGGGTGAAGATGGAGGCAAATGCCCTGGGGGTGGTCAGGACATTTCTGAGAGGCCCAGGGTCCACAGAGGCATCCACATGAGCACCCCTTTCCCCCAAAAAGGCTCTGCAGAGGCCAGGCCCAGCCCAGGGCCACTGGGGGGCAAATCTTGGCACCTGCCCCCAGTGAGTCCAGTTCCTCCCTGATGTGGGTGGATGGAGGCTACCCATTTTAGATGCTCAGTCTCTTCTTTCTGTCTTCTGCTCCCTAGGGCTGCGAGGGGTGGGGCAGGCAGGCAGAGCGCTGGGTGGCCATGGCAAGGCCTTTACTGGGAGGCCTGTGACGTGGGGTTCTCCGATTTGCTTTCTTGGCTGGATGGAGGCTTGCTGTTCCAGGGGCTGTTGGCGCCCAAGGCGGGGGAGTTGTTAAAGCTGTCCTCGTCGTCAATGCCGTTGGCCGCGTCAAACTGGGTGTTCTCCAGCCGGGTGATGAGCCTCTCGTCCTCGTCCCCGAACTCCCCGCCCATCAGGGTGGGCTCCCCCACCACCATCACATCCTGAGAGTGGCGGAGGTCCCCAAACATAATCGGGGCAGGGGCTCGCCCAGCCCAGGGCAGCAGAGAGCCCCAATACCCACCCAGGAAACTCAACACCCCCAACCCCTTCTCACCCAAATTTAAAACCCCAACTCCTCTGACACTCTCAGGATCCCTGGAATCCTTCCCACTGAAGGACTGCAGAGCATCACAAACACTAGATTCTAGGAGAAGTCAATCTACTCCCCTCACTCCCTAGTTCATATCCCCCAAACTTCAGGGCGCTCCTAAACTTCCTGTTTAGGAAGCAGAGAAAAAACACCAAATGGGGAAAGCGTGTGCATGTGCATATGTGCGTATTCTAGATTCGCACATGTTCAAATTCACGTGTCCCTCTGTCAGTGTGTGTGTATCTGATGGTATATGGGCCTCTAAGCTATCTCTCCTGAACATCCATGTTCTAACAGCTGTCTCTGTCCCTTTATGTCCTATGTTCTGTCTGAGTCTGTGATCACAACCATGGCACGTGACTGACAAGGACTCTCATCAGTGACAGGAGCCAGCCCATGCTGGCAGAGCACACCAGGAAAAACTCTCTTTGCTTCTATGCCTGCTAGTGAGCTCAGGCTGGGACAGGGTCAAAGGTTAGGGGTCAGCAGTAGGGCAGCCCAGAAGAGAGAAGAAAGCCGAGATGCTTACAGGTACCTGGCTGGAGAGGGCGAAGGTGCTGGCTGGGCTTTTCTTCTTGCTGTTGCTGTTGTTGGCGTTGCCACCCCCCGAGCTCATGGTGCTGCCCCCTGACATCTTTCGTTTCCGCCGCTTGCTGGGCTGCTGCCGCGCGGGCTCCGCTGTACCAGGGAAAGGAGATTCAGGAGGGGCAAGACCTCGGGTCCCTTGTGCCCCATTCTGGCCCCTAGGGAGCCCGAGCCTACCCCAATCCCAATCTCACAGACCCAAGAGCAAGGAAGGGGCTTCGTGAGGAGAGAGACCCAGTGCTGGGGAGCGTCACCAGACCCTGGTAAGAGCAGGGGCAGGTGGAAGGCACTCACCGGGGGGTGCTACCATGCGCTGCCACTTCTGGAAAAGGCAGGTCTTGAGGCAGTCACGGGGGCTGAGGCTGTAGGTCTTGTGACGGGACATGAGCTCCTGCATGGGCTCGAGTATCACACAGAGCTGAGGGGAGACGGGGAGACCGGGAGGTGGCTTGTCAGGGGAGAGCTGACATGGAGTTGACACCAAATGGGATGGGGGCAGAAACCGGGTGGTCAAGGACTCACTCGGAGGTAGTTGAGAGTGGAATTGGACAGCCCACACCGGGTGATATTTTTGGAGAGCTGATCCAACATCTGGGGGTCCTGGGCCTAGGTGAGGAGAAAGAACAGAACACTAGCACCTGGGTTGCATCTGCTCACCTGACCTATCACCTGGGCCTCATGACACTCCTGAGAGAAGAGGGGCTCTTATGAAACCCATTTTTCAGACGGAGATACTCCAACTCTCTGTCTGAGGTCACGGTCAAGAAATGGCAGACCTTGGGCGCCTGGGTGGCTCAGTTGGTTAGGCGACTGCCTTCGGCTCAGGTCATGATCCTGGAGTCCCTGGATCGAGTCCCGCATCAGGCTCCCTG